CCTGCTGCTGCCCTTGAGAGAGAGAGGAACAGACACCGATGGCGAGGAGGAAGTTTAAAGTGTGGGTGGATTGGTTTCCTAGTGACAAACAAATATTAGTAGCTGTTTCCCCAGGGAAGTTTTCATATCCACTCTGCCCGACAGTATTAATCTTCTGTGTAAAATAAAGAACATACAGGAAATAATACAAACAGCAGTTACTGAAAAAACACAAGCAGCACGCCAATGATGTAAAATTGAAACACAAAATATACAGTGTCAAAATATCAGCTTGCATGAAAAAATTTGATGTGATTTAACAGTTCTGAGAGTGAGCGTGTGTTTTTGTTTGTGTGTGTGTGTGCCTTGCAGGTTCCTGTCACTGTGGCCAGTGTATCTGTTCTCCCCAAGACTGGTGGGTGTCCGGAGAGTACTGCGAGTGTGATGACCGAGAGTGTGACAAACATGACGGCCTCATCTGCACAGGTAGGAAACAAACATGCACGCACGCGCAAACACACACACACACAAAGTCTTCAGGATCGAAAATGTTGGATCCAATCTGAAATGGACCTGAGGAAAACCAAAATGTGGTTAGGATTAATTAAGGGTTATTAAATTACCCAACAGTATTATGAAGCAGCTAAAATCATCCTCACATGAACCAACTACCAACTACAACATTAAAGTTAGTAAAGTTTTGCTATTGCTCCATAGCTGACCTTAGCATTAACGGCTGTTTACTTACCAGTCTAGAAGAAACATTGCGAGTTCAGCATCAAACTTCATTCCTTTACTCACCAAGAGCTGTCTGCAGTAGTGGAAAGCAACACCAATGTTAACTCTTGTCTCTGTCATGTCTTTTCTAAAGTTAGCATGCTAACCAACTAGCCTCGGCCCATCTTGTCACCTGCACAGAGGAGGTATTAACCTCTTGTCTTGTAAATGCAACGATGATGGCAAAAGCCTTTGTCAATCGACAACCACCACCACTTGGTCCTGGGAAAAAACCCTGCAGCATGGAAAATTTACAAATAGTCCTTGATTATATGTTGCACCAGTATTATGATCTGATATTGTAAAACACTCCATTCTACTTTGAATGATTTGAATACTTCCCACCATTTTCTAAAACCATACTATTTTTTTTTTCCATATGTTACTGATTTTATAAAATATTTTTCTCCTGCAGTGATACTGACATACAGTACTATGTCTGTAGAGCTAATATCTTGTATCAGATATATTTACACAGACCTGCTTGCGTGACACCTGTAGCATTAAAACAAAACCCTACCCAACCCAATTAGATGGTGTATAATTCGATGCAGGTCTGACTCCCACTTGAATGTCAATAGTTGTAAGTCAGAAAACAGACAAATTAATGGAGACAAACTACACAGACATACTCCTCGATATAGCCGTTTATCCACAGGAGCCGTCTTCTCCCCACTGATTGTGGAAATCTCAGTACATGTTTATAATTATTTTTGCCCCGGGGCCTGTCAAAATCTGGACAGCTGTTCAGAAGTGTTTCTCATCATGACTTCATGACTCCAAATGTCAGCCTTAATGTCATTCAACTGCGCATCAGTGGCTCCAGATGCAGACAAATGTTGCTTAAAAATTGTGTAACACTGGGAGAAAACAAAGAAAATGTCATGGCAATGTCTGTTAAATGTTCTTGATTACTATATTACTAACAGTATATGCAAATTACCATATGCATGAGAGTTATTATAATATTTTACATGAAAAGGCAATTAGAGAAAAAGGGGGTTGAATATGCACATGAAAGACACCGCTTCTCTTCTCTAGGTAGCCGTGATGCAACCCCCCCCCCCCCCACCCCATGCTAATGATACAAAAATTTGTTTGGCAAGTTTGCCAATAAATTACTCTGCATCCAGAGATTTCATGGCCCCTTCAAAGCTGTAGATTCTCATTACACATACAACTGATGAGTGATGTGGAAAATTCAGCGTATTAGGAATGCTTGCTGGTTAATTTCATGCACTGAATATGATAATTTCAGCAGCCATTTCAGAAGAGACAAAAAAAGGTCTATACGGGCGTCTGCAACACAGGTGAAAGCGTAAAAACAAATACATTACATTTTGTCACCATGCAACATTGTGTTTATCGGGGTTATGTTCAATCTGTAGAAATCGCTCTTCTAGTTTCAGTTTTCCTTTTCCATCAGAACTATTACAATCACCTAAAAAGGTTCATGTGTCAGGAATACAATTACAAAACTGTCTGTTGGTTTGAGTTGATTCCTATTGAAACCGAGCATCGATTCTCCAAATGCTGAGGGTTACAGACGAAAGCATGAACCATGAACGCGAGAGAATGTGGGGTGGACCAATAGAGCTGATAATGTGCTTCTCTGAGAAGCCAAAGCCTATTGCTCTAGTCTTCCAGTGTTTACCTTAAAACTATTAAAAAAACACACTGTTGCACCTGGTGACATGTTTGTTTATTATGATTAACATGGGCACTGTAGTTTGATGCTGTAAATACTCAGTAAAGCACCAAATGCGTGTTAATCCACGGGTGAAAATAGTCCCTGACAAATGCGCTATTTACTCTTTACTCTTTTTTTTTAACTGTACATTTGTGACCTGTTTAAAAAGATTATTTCTTCAGTAGGAAGCAATGGGTTTGTAGCTGAATGTCACAGACAGGGTAGGGAAGCGGAGAAAATATTGAGAGACAGACTGAAGCATTGTTGGTTTTGGTCTTCTCCTGGGATTTATCCACAATAAAAGATAATATGGAGTAAGGCCAGCCTTATTGTGTAATAAGAGGAAGGTCTGTCTAGTCTGCTCTCTTGATTCAGTAAATCAACAGCCAGCTCAACCATCCCTGAAAATCATGTGTTGACTCCTCCAGCTCAGTCCTTTCCTCCTCATTCTCCTTTCCTATCTCACTCTCCTTGTTATTTTTCTCACCTGCTTACACATCTTTGCTGCCTTCCGATTTTTCACCTCACTTTCATTGTTTCACCCTCGTCATCATCCATCACCCCCTATTTCCCCCTCCTCAGACTCCTCCCTCCTCTCCCGCAGAGATATTTTGCAGTAGATATGTCTGTTCAGCTGTGTGACAGAAGGCCAGCAGGAGTCCTCCTCCTAACCCCAGCATCTCTGACAGCTCAGGGAACCAGCAGAAAGCATGGGGGTACTGGATTATAACAGACAGGTACCCTGAGTAGGATGTTATACTACTGTGAGTATCTTCATACCTAAAATAAATATATCCTCATCCCTAAAGACAATAAGTCAGTGTATCCCATATCAACCAATATGATTGTGCTGGTATCCGGCTTTCCTATCGGTTGAACAAAGATATGTCATCAGTATTTTCTTCCAAGGTGATGCCACTCACAGGATACTCATTACCACAAACTCCTACCTGAGATTTGGACAGCAGTATTTCTTCCTTTGTTACTGAGCACAAAATAAACAGATTGTAATAAACTATTTTTTCTGGAAAGGACAGCCTCACTATTTTATCAGTAAGGAAGGAGGGAGGAAGGAAGGCAGGTCAAATTTTAGGATATCTGAGCTTTGTACAAGCGTGGCGAATATATAAAGTATAAAGGTTTTTCACTCCTAATTAAACCAGAGTTTTCTCCTATAGTGGGTGGGTGAAAGCAGTAGAAAGCCACAAACTGTCCTGAGCAGTGTAGATCGCCTCAATCCCCCACCAGAGAGCTGTGCCCAGGGAAGCAGAGTGTGAAAAGAGGAACCTTGTTAAAGGTCAGGCATGATGGCACAGCTCTTTTAATTCACAGCTTTTCTTCTCACATCTCCTCACAGGGAATGGCTTGTGCAATTGCGGCAACTGTGAGTGCTGGGACGGCTGGACAGGGAACGCTTGCGAAATCTGGGTGGGAGCAGAGTACTGAGGAGAACAGGACACTGGGGTTAGAGACAAGAGGCCTGGCTGCCCGGAGCGACCAGGAGCACCGCCGACCGTCAACGACCAGGCTGGTAAAACACCACCGCCTGGAAACCACAGGAGGAGGGAGAAGACATGCATAAACACGGATGTAATTCTGCGTATCACTAACAGCATTCATTCTTTTATTGTACTGGTTACAAATGATCCTTATTAAAACTGGATTTTGTAGGTGAAAAGAAACAACCATATTTTCCTGTTTAAAACATATTACAATGTAAACATTTATGTTTCCAAAACAGCTTTATGTATGATTTTTTTTTTCATTTTTTATAACGTAGGAACGCTTACATATTCCAGAAGGCTGCACATAATAGGATGCAGGTACATGACAAATCGAAACGTTGGTCAGAGAGGAACATGTTCTTTTAGTGAGGTGACATTTTTGGAATATGAGGGATACTGCGGGGGATAATGTAGGCCTGTTTTGAAATGGTACACAGTGAAGTGTTGCTCCCAGGCTGGACTGAAAGTTCACTCAAAAGCTGAAGGCAGAGGTTACTGTTTGAGGTTTTTATTTCTTTTTAATAATAAAACATTAAATGTGCCGCATGACACAACATTTTGCATGGAAAACAATGCGAAGACCTTAATCATACATGGTTACAAATTTGTTATAACATGACATAACTCCAATGGGCATACTTGCAATGGTATATATATATTTTTGAAAATAAATCATTTTAATAGTGCCTATTCTTCTCCACCGGGAAATCAAACCAAACAATCTGCCATGAAACCCCACACTGTACTGACGGTACGTAATGGACATTTCTCACTCAACTCATACTAGTGATAAGGTTAAATTCTAAGTGGAGGAAACAAAGAGAAGGGCATACATAGTTTAGTTGTGGCATGCTGGATGTCCATGTCACTTCAAAAGGTGGCATCAGGGGATGAGAGCTGCATTGACACGAGAGCTCAGTCACCACTTGAAAAGAGGACCGATAAGAAGTCACAAAGAAAATTTAATGTAAATTCTACTTTGGCCTTTTTCATGCTTAAACTAGCCAACCCCTCTGTTTTCTTTGTCCCATCAAAAAAAATGACAGGTGCAATAATATACTGCACACTATATTGCATTAAGTATGTTACTGACATTACAGTACACCTTTATATAAATATTTTATTCAATATGTTGTATATGTGTATACAACAAACACAAACTGTATAGTGTAGACAAACTCGTTGCATATATGTATGTAAAATTAGCGGTACATACCAACAGTTCTTGATAGACATAGCCTACTACATGCAGTTCATCGATGCCATCCTCTCCCCATGCAACAGATGGGACAACGTACAAAAGAAGAGGTTGAAAACTGAAGCAATAAAGAAACTAAGTTTGCTAGAATATTCTTGGAACACATCTGAAGAGAGGGAGGGAGGGAGGGGGGACAAAGCAAAAGTGATCAGGAGAACGACATCACACACGACCCGTATACGAGAGAAAATGAGGACAAGAAAGAAAGAAAGAAAGAAAGAAAGAAAGAAAGAAAAAAAAGTGGCTACAGAGATCCAAACAGAGATGTACATTTACACACTGGTCATTTACAAAAATAAAGTCAGCCTTGGAGGAGCCAGTTAACTGGACTGCAGGGCTGGAGCAGAAGCCAGCCCAGCATGTAGAGTTTGTAAAGAGTGGAGGATGATTGGCTGTAACGAGGACACAACACCATCCTCAAATACAGCTACAATGGTTTCCAGCTCCTGTGCGTGTGCGTGTGTGTGTGTGTGTGTGTGTGTGTGTGTGTGTGTGTGTGTGTGTGCGCGCGCACGTGTCTATGGTACGCCATTGTTGTTATAACATTAACAGCTTTGTACAGACAAATATTGAAGTCTAACTAATGTGCTTTGATGTGCTGTAAGAAGAAATGGTCATGTGTAATCCCAATAAACTCAGAAAATTATATTTACCAAATCAACTTCTTAATATAGTTGCAGTTTTAGCAGCATACAGCAGCAACAATCTACTTAATAGTCTAAACCTTATCTAACAAAACTATTAGGAAAAAATCATTAAAGCAAGACGTTAAAATGTTATAAATTGATTGATCAGATAGAGCTTTGATAATCCGCTAACAGTCGTAATGAAGATGCAAAACGGAAAGTGCAGTGGGTTTCCTTCAGGTTAGGTGTGAGTGTGCCGTAGCCTACAACATGCCCATTCAACGTCCCACACCGAGCTTCAGTGCTCTTCAGCTTAGACAGAGTGAAGAACGATACCCATACCTTGGTTCCTCATAGAAAATACATGCATGTGATTAATTCAAGGTATACGTACTTCTCCAAAATGACATCAGTCGAGACCTTTGCAGGTCTGAGCAGAGTTGATTCTGTCGGACAGAACAAATGCTATCACAGTGAAAGCTTGAATGAATTGAATCAGAGAGAGAATCAGATTTGTTTTCTTTCTTCTTTTTTTTTTTTAAGAGTTAAAGAGTTCAGTTCTTCTTGGGATGAAAAAAAGACTTTGGTCATTTCAGAATGAATACATCTGAGTGTGGTTTTTCTCGATGGATAATGCTACGTGTCCTCTACGTGGATGTATCGGGTGGGTGAGGCACCTTTGGCCCAGTGGGGACTGGGAACCTGTTTTTGCATGCCGGGAATCAAGGTCCAAACAGGCACGTGACAGGCCAAGATGATCAGTACTGGACTCTGCATGCTGAGCTAGGAGACAATTCCTCTCATAATAATAATTATAATAATATCTAGTCATTTAAAAAGTTATGATTTTTAATAGTCATTTTCCCTAAGTTTTATACAGTGAAAATGTTACAATATAAGCCATCTCTTGTATAACTGCTGCAAGAAGAGAGAACACAATATTAACCTTGCCCATGCTTTAGTTTGCTGAACCAAATAGGGATGCAGCCAATATAAATGTCGCCTACTGGTTTTCAGCCATGTTGTTTTCTGGCTTTAAGTAGACGCTGCCGTAAGATGGCTGCCAGTGCTGCAGTTATAGACCATCTGGGTCAAAGCCACAAGCCTTGCCTTATAGTCCAAAGAAGTCAGCGAGTGAGGGACAGAGGCCTACAAGGCCTAGAGATATTCCTAGAGCCCACGCTCTGAAATAAGATTAAAGAAAAATAGACTTCAGGTTTTCTATTTACCAGAGAAGGCGGACTGAACCGCTGGTGGGACTTAGATAGTGATATGTATACACCATTCCTTCCAGCGCTCTCCCACCCACACGCACATCTGTTTATAAATGTGTGTGTGTGTGTGTGTGTGTGTGTGTGTATGTGTGTTTGTGTGTGTGTAGGGAGCTCCTCGCATTGATTGCAGTGGCGGTAATTAGCACTTCATCAACTATGATTGCAGGAGCTATCTGCCAGCCTCCAGTGTGTTTTTATCAGCTGTAAAAAAGCAACATCTCTGATTTTCCCCACAAACTTTTGTGTGTCTGTAAGTGTGTGTGCGCATGTTGTAGGCAAGAAGAAAATTTGAGTCATTTTTTTGATTTTGTATATGTGTTTGTTTTTATGTCATATCTGTGTGAATGTGTTTCTTAGAAAATCACACAACTCCCTTGCAAAATGTTTTTATCTTTTCTAGGTTACTTGACAAAGAGAAAAGTGTGTGACTAGAGATAGAAAGAGAGGGAGGGGAACGTACTCGTAAAAAATAGAGGACGACAGTCCAAATATTTACTCTATCTATACAGTCTCTATCCCAGAACATAGCTGGTGAACTGTGGTATAGAAAATAGATCTGAAGGTTCACACACTCTGCTCCAACAGGGCATTATAGAGAGGGGGAGGGTTTTCTTGGATGAACCGTCAGCAAGCAAAGTACCACGAGCGTGGTCGTGAAACACGCGTTATTCACATGAATTCTCACAGTTCCAGAGGAGTCTAAAGGCATTCCATGATCAGAGGTCCTCTTCCCTCCCGTGCTGGAGAAACTCAGCCGCCTCAGAATCCATCCGCCCCACGCTGAGACAGCTGGAGAAAAGGAGGACGGGGCGGGTGAAAGAGGAGGAGGAGCAAGAGAAGAAGGGAAGGAAGGTTTGCCTGGATCTGATCCACAGAAGAAAAGAGGGTCTGGAGTCTAGTCGGGAAAAGCCCTGCCTCCGTCACGCTCCCCACTCCCCCAACCCCCCCCACCTCCACACACACACACACACTGGGCACTGGTCAGGTGTGGCTATGTGGTGGGCTTGTCGGGCTTGCTGACAGGTTTACCTCCATTCATCACCGCCGGCTCACTTGTGCTTTTACTGGGAGGTACCGCCGCCTTGGGCAATGTCTCTCCCACATCATGCAACGATGGCTCTCTGTACATGGCAACTGGAGGAGCAGACGATAAGGAGAGAGAGGAGAGAGACAAGGGAAACAGTGTTAGCGCGAAACTCTATCCTGCACTTTACCTGTCTAAACCTATTCAAGCAGCATATCACTTCCCATAGCTGTTGTGTCCTTTTTCAAAAGTTTTACACAGACAAAGAAAACCCTCAAACCTGCACCGAAATTTACAGATGGAAAAAAAAAGCTGAAACATCTTTTGCCTGCTGGCTTCATACTCTGTCTCCATCAGGGCTGATTCTGAATCCAAGCACATAACTTTTCGACAAAACAGCCGAAAGTGTCTCATTACAACCCCCTCTACCCCCTCCCACTTTACAGCCACTACACTACAGCTGTATCACTGTCTTGACAGGACACTTCAACCTGATTCCATGTTTAAATGATGGGAAGCAATCAAGGCCGGTGGCTCACGAGAGTGATGGTGGCATCTGCTGGACTATCAACATTTCATACTGCGCTTACTGAGCAGCCCTGCATCCTACACTGTCTGCTTACAACAGCAAAACAGAGAATCAGCACATAATACAGAAACTATGTCAAAGATGAATATTTCACATGCAGTAGTTGCACCATTACCCAGTATAAAATTATGCCATGTCATCATCATTTTTTTGTGTTTTTATACTGTAGATTTCATAAAAAAAATCCACCTCCACCTAAAAGCTGTTAGAATTTACAGTAACACAGTTTCCCTGACTGTTGAAAAACTGCTTCAGGTAACAGAAACTAAGAAGACAATATGGGGGAAATGAGCTGCTGATTATGCTCCTTAAGTCTCTCTAGGTGAGTTGAAAACATAAAAGACAGAAAACTACATAGTCCTTAGTTGTATTATTTTTTTTTTTTTTTTTTTACAGTTGTCTCTATGAAAAACACAGGCATGCAGATAGCTTTTAGTTTTCTTTAGTTCTGAGACTTTTGTTGCCACCCATAGTGCGATGGTGGGCGCGCAGCTTTCAAAGGTAGATAACTCAAAGCCTCTGCACATAAAACTGAAACTGAGAAAATATTATCTTGTGATATGGGTGATCTGATCTTGTAAAAGATGGTGATGCTCAGTGTTTTTCTTATTGTCAAAACCAACTTCCCCAGCCTGTCTTTGGCGTTCAACCCCAACACTTCCTACAGAAGCAGCTGACAACAGCTGGGCAGTGTAGCTTTTAGCAAACATTACCAGTAAAGGAGTAAATCATGCATTTGTTGGAAACTATTAACCACATATTAACACATGCTAGTGAGTATTTATGAGAGCAGGACAGTGTACGACAGATTTAAATAAACTACAGTGCCTGTGTTCATCATAATAAAGGAGCATGTCACCCATTGCAAAACTGTTGTTTTTTATGTGTTTGAAACAGATTCTGGGCAACAATGGAGGTCGACTGCGCAGAGGAATGAACTGTATGAGGATCTGACTACAAACAATATTTATTAGCATAATAATAATTCTAATTCATTATTGATTTTAGTCTTTTCATCGGATTTGTTGACAATAAGAAAAAAAAAAGAATATTTCTACACCTAATCTTAAATACTTAAAATAAACAATGATAAATTCAGATTTTTAATACCAGATTTTTTACTTATTTGAAAAGCAAGTGTAAAATCACAGTGCGGTTCTGATGTGTTAATGTTAAATTTCACTTTGAGTTTTTAATTACATACCTTCTAATGGCTTGGGCAGGAAGTGAGCAGCTGGTTTTGTTTTTTTCACTCGGTTCCCCTTCATGGCTTGACCCTCTTTATTGAGCCCTAGGAACCAAGCTCTCCCCGACTCCTGTTGTCTGTACAACATGGACGAGTAGATCACATAGTAGTTCTCAAACACCGACTCTTTGAACTTGCACTCCGCTGTAAAGAGTTCCTGCAAAGACACAAACAAGCACCACACACATTGTAATCTTTTTTGGTTATTTTTTATATACAAGACTTCATTTGCCCATGATATACTATACTGGAGACATTCCAGTCCATATTGTGTAAGAATGAAACAGATATCAGATTCATAAATTATATTTGAACTTGTATGAAGGTCACCAGCACACATGCCACCTTTATTTCGCTCTCAATGTATAGAATAATCTCATTGCAGGCCGAGAAAGTGCCTCGCCAGGTAAATTGGACTTCATACCTCCACCTGTCGTGAAAAGGACGAGCGTTGCAGAGTCTATCTCACTATAATCATGTCCGATTCAAGCCAGGTCTAATGACCTGCTCTGATGAAATGCAACTCTCATTCTCTCCTTGGCCTTAACCTTGACATCAGATGTAAGAGCACCCGTTTAGTCAATTAGCTCATGTTCCCAGCAGAAAGTATATATTGTTAGGTTCTGACCCCAGCTCTTCAGCACTGGAAAAATCAGCACTTTTCTCCCCCCCCCCCCCCCCCCCCCCCCCCCCACCCCCCCCCCCCCCCCCCCCCCCCCCCTCTGCCCAGATGTCTAGCCAGACATTCCTGGCTTGTTCCTCAAAAAATGTTTTAATTGGCAAAACCCAAAGGGGATCATCCTTCACCAAATACTACGTCTTCTATTAGCAATTTGTCTATGACTGCCTTCTGAACTTTGTACGAATAATGATAGAACTAATCAAGTGACTCTTCCATCCTTTACACCTCAATCTGGCAATGACGAATGAACACTGAGGCACCACATCTCTCTCTGCTGTTGCCCATTCATCTCCAACCAGAAGGGTAATAAAACGCGTTTCCACATTGTCCGCCCTGCCAGGCTAAAAATAAAGGCATTCATCGGGGTGTATTAATCAAAGCACACTCATCACAATGGAGGGTTTCACCACATCTTTTGTAAGCAATTCACACTGAGCTGGCTCACAGAGCTACTGACAGTATATGTAAAAATCCTCCGATATATCCTGCACCTCACTGGTTCGCAATGTCAGGGGCTGGGGACAGTGAGAAGATTCCTTAGGGACCAAAAATGAGGAGTACTTCAATTTGTTTGTGTCAAACAATAAAATAGAGTTTGTGTAGGATACTGGTGTCATCTTCCAAACCAAAGCACACTAAATATTTCTGTGCCATATTATAATAAACACACGCACAGAATCCTATAAACTGGGTCCCAGATGGCCAAAGATTTCAAAAGCCTTTTGGATTACATTACTATACATCTTTGATTACTCTGTGTTTGAATGATATGGGTAAATGTGAAAGACGATTAGACTGTATCACATAAAATTCCAGGAAAAACATGGCTGCAGCCAAAGTGACATTTTGACCTGGTGATGGTGCATGGTGAAAAGCTAAGGGATTACCAAAGTTATTACAATTCATCCTGTGGGGGAAACATGGATGTCTGGACCAAATTTCATGGCAATCCATCCAATCATTGTTGAGACATTTCATTCAAAGCACAAAGGTCAATCTTGTTGTGGCACCAGAAATCGCCACGGATTCATCCTCTAGGCAGCATTATCATATGATCCAACTGTCATGGCATCGAAATCAAACAGATGTCTAAACGTTTCACTTAGAACCAAAAACAACAACCTCACAGTTGTGCAAGAGGATGAGTCAGGGATCACCAAAATCACTGGGCTTCTTCTTTTGGAGACAATGAATGTATATACTGAGGTACATGGCACCCCATCTATTGGTTTTTGAGATATTTCAGTCAAAGGAAGTTGACCAAAAAAACCTAAAAGTGTCACATTATTTTAATTTTCCTGGAGATTGATTTTATAGTTACAATGTTGAGGCTCTGTCTTTGTAAATCTCCTGCACTGTTGCTTCACAGGAGATTATTTATGGGCTAAATGCTTCATTTTGAACACAGCACACACCATGCAATAACTATGGTATAATTAGCCCTTGGTGAATTATCCCTGTCCGGGCTTATCCTCCAGACAGTATTCAATTGAAAGCAGAGCTGAACAGGAAGGTGTGGAGAGACACTTGGGATGGCCATAATGATCCTGACAAGCACCTGGCTGTATGAGTGTCCTCTCTATCCTTGATTGAGGACTCCTAGGCATTTCTGAGTGGAAGGCGCAAATGCATGATGCATAACAACAGCATCAGCTGAGATGTGAAAAAAAAAAAAAAAAAAACTCAGGAAGAGGTGCTCTGATTCTTCATATTGCAATCACAGTGAGAAAATGGTCAAAACTGCCAGTGCAGGCATTGAGACGTCAGTGCGGTGATCTGTTATGTGATGCATGTGTTGGGGAAATCCTGCAGTCCGACTTTGCTCTGTCTCACCGGCAGCGAATGCGTTACACAAGAGAATTAACTTCAGACTATTCTAGTGGCAAAAGTAGGGATTAGGATCAGAAATATTAATGCTGCTTCCGTTAGCAGACCCCAGAGGCTGAGCAGAGCAATCTATCGATAGGCAGACACATTGCAGGCAGAGGCAATAACAACTGAACCACACATGATAAAACCCCCAAGCATGAGGACATCCAGCATGTTTCATTGCAAATAAAAGAACATTCTCTCGGGATGATGCCCAGGCTTGACCCCATCGTTATTCATTTTGTTGTCATCATTAGGATTTATTGTGCATCAGCGTCAAGCAGCAGTTCATCAAATGGCTGTTTATTATGTCCAAGTTGTCAGAAAGGCTGGGCTGTGTCCATCTCCCAGGACAGGCAGGCGACGCAGTATGATGTTGCAGACTGTACACAACACATGCAGTACATCGTAATAGATCCCGAATTATATACGACGTTATATAAGTCTTATATTGCCCTTAATATTTAAAATAAACTCACTTGGGTGATCTTTAGCCAAAAACGAGAACAAATGTCTTCATTGTACCGTTTCATTCGTAAAACCAAACAACCTTTGTTCCCTGACAGAATGTTTAAACATGCTCTTCTAATGCTGAAGCAAATTCTGTTGCTGAGCCGATTAGAAGGTAAAACAGTTTTACCTTCATGGTTCCCTGACTTGCTTCAATTAGGTAATTAATTCTACTTTTTCCTCGTCAGGTGAGCCGCACCACAGGTTGGTTGGCTGCTGTAATTAGACACATCATTTTGATGCCGGTCCAGGTTTAGCCCAGCACTGATTACTTATACGACACCTACAAAACAGCCTTGAGTCAAAGTAATCACACAAGCTGGTGCCAAGGCCATAATTGTGGCTAATCAAACGCCTTCACATAGATGCACAAAAAGTCTGCCTTTGTTTACAGAGGCAGAGGAAGTGGGGGTGGTTTGTTTGTGGAATGATGCTTGATGGTGAACAAAAAATGTTACACTGTCAGTCACCATAATCAGTTTCACTTGAAGATCGGAGCAGTGAAGGCAGCTGATTTCAGACACATTGTTTGCTGACTGCATTATAAGTTTGTCAAATGTCAACAACAAGCCAAAGGCTTTTATCATGTTCAAACTGTCACAAAAACAGGAGCAAGACTTTCCTTTAGTCATTTTCCCGCATTTGTGATCAATAACTCTTCACACATGTCAGAGATTACTGCTAATAATGACGGCATGGCTAAAAGTACAGTGGTGTCCAAAAGTCTTTGGGATCCCACTGTATGTGGAGACCCAAACAGGGTATATAGCCAGCCAGACATTACACCCATATCACTGACCTGACATTGTGCACATGTAGATTGTCATGTTGACATAGGGAAGGGCTTTTCCCAAATGTGATGCCACAAACGTGGCCTGGTGAACGTTACTTACCAGTCTAGAGGAAATGTTGTGAGTCCAGCAACAAACTTCACTCCTTTACTCAACAAGAACTGTCTCCAGTGGTGGAAAGCCACACCAAGTTTAACTCTTGATTTACTTCTATTTCTATCACTGCTTTTCGTCTACTGAAGCTAGCCCCAGTCTGGCCGGGCTGTCTGGTCACTGTAGCATCCAGCCCGCCCTAATGACGTAGCGGTACTCAGAGGGCGTATTAAAACCTCTTGTATTGGAAATGCAACGATGGCTGAAGCTCTTGGCAAGACCAAGCGGCAAACTCTGAGGCTAAAACACGGAAGTAACCAAAAACTGCACGTCTTCAAACGGCCGCTTGAGGCTGGTTCCAAAAGTCAATCCCCAAAGACTCCCATGTTGAAACCCAACTTTACAGCTGAAATAGACGGCTAATTTCCTCCTCATGATAACTGTAAAGGGGGGTGAATTTTTATACAACTCACTCGTCTAAATTCTATTAAAGCTTAAAGTTCTGCTTAATTAAGGGAATGCCGCTTTGAGTGACAGGGAGGCGGGCGTATGCTCGCAACAAGCTAGCATGCACTGAAGTCTTTTGGTATTAGCCAGGAGTTCGGTGAAGTCAGGTACCGGCAAGATGGCGACGACAATTTTTTATCACGACACAAAATGTTTGAAATATATGAAAATGAAACGGCCACTGTTCCTTAACTACACCCCCTACTGTGCTTTTCTTGAGGAAACCTTTTCTCTACCAATTTCTCTTTGCTGTTTTTTTTTAATTCAATTTAATTTTTTTTAATTCTTTTTCCTGGAGACCAGAACATGACAAACACATTTTCTCTTGGGTTTCCATGGTAACACAGAGGCACTCCAGCACAATATAGTGCTGTTCTAAGGGCCTGGGCATCCCCATCGCGTCCATACAGACTTATGGGAAACAAAATTTATCACTGATTATTCTGATATTAATGTAAAATCAATAATGTCCTTTTTCACCTGTTTAACATCCTCCAGCATTAATTAACCCCCCAGTTTCATATTGTTGTACATCACATGACCAATAAAGTCAGATTTTAACCTTGCACACACACACACAACACACACACACACTGAGAGAATGACTGAGTTTTGTCATATGATTATTTTAAAGAAGCAGTCAAATCAGAGACAATATTACCTTGTTTGCTGTATAATTCTACCCAGCATCAAACTAATATTTTA